TGTGCCCCTACCCATGGCAGGGGGGTTGGAATGAGATAGTTCTGCTGATGGTTGTAGCCTCCTGATCTTCTAGTTTGCACTTCTGGTGCACCTGACAGAGCATGGGAAACTAAAAAAGCCCTACATTTAGGATAAAAAGCCTTTACCAACAACCAAAACATCAGTGTGGTAACAATATTTTTCTCATACTGAAGCCAGAACTCAGCACTGTACCAGCTACTTGGGAAATCACTGAGAAAATTAAATCTATTCCAGCAGAAAACATCTCTAGGTGTAAATACAGAGCTTGTGTCCCGAGGCTTCAGCAAATCCAGCCTCTCATGCTCGTAAAGCCAAGCAAACAACATACTAAATCCCACAGTGTTATAGCTGTGTGTGACTCCTTCTGCTTTAAACCCATTTATGCCTCACAACTAATATCTCCCAACACACTGGGACCGTTCGTGGGAGCTGGATATCTCACGTAGGAAAACCCAACCAACCAAATGCCAGACAGTGAAACTGAGAAGAGTGGCCACGTGTGTTAAAGGCAAGTTTCAGCCAAAATAACCTGGCTGAACTGAGAGATCCTCATCAGGTGAGAGAAAACCCACGAACTCTCATAGCAGTGCTAGAAATGCCAGTTACAGCTGGGCGATGCCCGGGAAGTTACCAAGTGTTGGCTCGTGACAGATGGTCTCCCACGGTTTCATCATCCTGGGAAAGAGAGTTCTGAATGCTGAAATGAGGAGAGGCAGTGTATATTTTAGTCACACACCCAGAGAATCCCACTTTTGCTTCAAAACATTACCTAGATTCGGTTAGGAAATGTCTCGTGTTCCACAGTGTTGGGGAACTTTGAGTGAAAACATTGGCTGGATCCCCTCAGATTAGATCTTGGCAACATTCTGAAATAAATAAAGCTATTTATGCAGCCCAGAGCTAGACCTGGGACAAGTGTCTTGCTATCTAGACCACAGTCTCCTTTATTTTATGCTTTCCTATCGATTATAGATGATGGTAGTTATTTTTCAGTTGGCATATGGAGTTGTGAGGTTCTGAAAGTGAAATACAAACAAGGTGATGATTGACTGTGAGCCTCAGAAGAAGATTGTCTTGGTGAGGAGCAGCTCTGCAACTTGAATTTTTTCCTTATCCTCCTCTTTGTTAGTAGCAGAAAGTAGGGCAGCCTCCAGAGGAACATCACAAAATTGATTCACAGATGAACCCTTTTCCTGTGCTATTTATTCTTTGTGAGTGTCTCAGTCTCGATCCTGAAGTTTGAGACCCTTGGCTTGGCTTTGCTGGGTTTCATTTCACTCAGAATTTGGGTTTTTCCTGAATCTCATGTGTCATCCCGCAGAGTTCTCTTATACTAAATCTGGTAAAAGTCATAAAAAGATAAAAATGAGCATAAAAATGGACTAGGTCCTGAGTTGGGTTTTTTTTTAGGGAGATATTAGCTGGAGTGAGACAGAAGATATTCCTAGGAATGGCAGAAGTGCTGATTTGAGAGGTTTTCCCCACGCCAACTGCTATAAGGTCTATATTCAGATCTGACAGATTTATTAAATCATCTGGGCTGAAATTTTCCAAGATCACTATTTGCCACAGGAAGAGGATTTTGGAAAAACTCCAAAGACTCTTAAAAGACCCCAAAAATCAATGCCTCGATTTTAGTGCTCATTCCACGTATTATTCTTCCTCCTTCCCTTCAGGAAGTTGTTTTTTTGAAATCCTGATTCTACCACTGATGAGAGAGAGGTTTTACTGAAGAAGACGGAATAGATAATATAATTAGTTTATTGTAATGCCTGTGTGCAACTGGGGCAAAACAAGGTTGCTCAGGGTACATTGACTCTATTGCTCTGTGACTTCATAACCCCAGAAGTGCTTGACTTCATAACCCCAAAGTTCTCTTAACTTAGCCTTTTTTGTCTCTAATTGGCACTCAGGGGTCTCAGAATGCAGATCCTGAGGCAGGAATGCCTCTGGAATAAGGAGCTCTGGCCTTTCATTGGAGAGAATTCTGCGTGGAGGAGCTTTGATGATGGGCCCTCAGCACCAGCTTAGTGCACTCGTTCTTATTTCTCTTTATTTATTGATATGAGACTTCCTGTAACTTCTCTGTTTACACCCAGCGGAGGGAGTGAAACCTGAGGGATGTAAACACTTCCCTGAAGAAACTTTCTTGAATGAGGATGAATGTATTTTGTGGTGTAAAATTAAAACCTGATCTTAGGATACATTTATTTACAATGAGGGTGGGGATGTCCTGGCACAGGTTGCCCAGAGAAGCTGTGGCTGCCCCATCCCTGGGAGTGTCCAAGGCCACATTGGATGGGGCTTGAAGCAGCCTGGGCTGGTGGAAGGTGTCCCTGCCTGTGGCAGGGGGGTAGAATGAGATGAGCTTTAAGGTCCCTTCCACCCCAAACCATCTGTGATTCTGTGATCTGTCACCATCCCCACTAAGAGCAGCTGGTGGGCATTAATCTGTCTTCTCTGCATTTTATTTGTGTTATGTGGTGACATCCACTAAAGACAAAACAGTGGCCATTTTGGAAGAAGGGAGAGAAAATGAGACACACTGGGTGGAAACAACAAACAGTCCCTCCAATCTCCTCCTTTACCCTGCTGCTTAAAACAGATGTTTCTGTTCAAAGACAGGCTTTTAACCAGACACAGGCTCACCTTACCAACCCTTCCCCTCTTCCTTTCTTCCTCTCTGGGCTCTTCCCTCACTCTTACAAAATGCAGTTTCCAAATGCCCGAAATGGGAGATTCCTCAGGGCAAACCTGTTGCTGCAGTCACTGAGAAACTGGTACAGTTTTGTCTCCCACTCCTGTCAGATCCATTTTTGTGTTTTCCATTTTTCCCTCCCTAAGTCCTTCCTGTGATTCCCCTCCCACATCTCTGCATACAAATAATACCTTGTCACTAGGCTGTCAACAAGTCCTCTCTGAATGCACGTAGCATCTAATGTCTTATGGCAGAAATTCCCTTCAGTGACAGAAGAGGCATTTTGCAGATGTTTTTTCCGAGTCAAAGCCATGGCATTGATCAAAACAAAAGTGTTTCCATCCTTGTTTTCACACAATTTAGCACGAGGTATTGCTAACTCTGGGAGAAGTGTTGATTTTTGTTTCCCCCCTGCAGAGCTGTGTGATTCCCCAGGACATCTGGGGAGTCTTTGTTGGAAGATGTACCAGGTATTAGTAGTTGTGATGAAAATTCTCACCTCTCCTGCCCCGTGGCTGCTTTCAGTTTCCGTTGAGTCCTGCTGCTCCAGGTAGGCATGGCTACTCCAAAATGTGGATTTTGGGATGTGTACTGCCTGTCCTGAGAGGGAATTTCCCCCTCCCTGGAGCCTCCAGTGGTGGAACTGTCCCGATCTCCCTCCCTGCAGAACCATTTTCATCCCCTTGTTGCAATTTACCTGCGAAGATGACAGAATCACAGACCGGTTTGGGTTGTAAGGGATCTTAAAGATCATCTTATCCCAACCACCAGCCATGGGCAGGGACACCTTCCACTAGCCCAGGTTGCTCCAAGCCCTGTCCAACCTGGCCTTGGATACTTCCAGGGATGGGGCATTAAAAAGATGCATTTTAGTGACCAAACATCATCCTTTCCCTCTGAACACCTTGTTCGTCCATCACACCAGGGAATTATGAGCCCATGGCACAGCATGAAACTCTAAACCTGGAATCCACAGCCACCCCAAGAGGAGCTTATCTTTAAAAAAAGCGGTTTAGATCTGCTTGGGTGAGGAGGAGATGTTTATTGAAAATAAGTTTGGTCAACCTTAAAGGAACTTTGCCTTTAGATATACGAGAACGTGTTTATCTTCTAGGCTTGATCTGAAGTTTTCTTTGTTTCTGTTTTGAAGGGGAGTGGCAGAACCCTTCACTGCTGTGATGATGCAACTTGTTTTCCATCTACATGGAATTAACTTTAAGTGTGTTTCTGTAATGTCTATAAATACTGGAATAAACAACCAAATTAATTTTGTTCCCTGTCACAGCCCAAGCAGCTCCAAGTGCAGATGCAAAGTGGGATGGACGACTGCAAATGCCTTTTCAGGAAGAGCTGATTTGCACTGTAAAAAATAAATAAATATATATATATATATAT